TTTTTTTTTTTAGACTGTGCTAGTTGTCTCCCTTCTGAAATAAGTGATCACAAAATTACTTTACAAATTTAGTCACAATTTTTATATGCTTTGTGACAGCTTTTTTTCCGGTGAATTTTCTTGATTTGCCATTTGTTGTTGTTGTTGTTCTCTCCCTCCTTTATTTCTCCTGTAAGCATCTTCGACTATGTCGTGTGCTAATTCCTCTAGATCAACGTTTTGCAGGGGATTTATGCAGAGGGGAGGTGCCAGGAAGTATTTTAGGAGAGCAGGATTGCTCCCGGTTCATGGTAATTTTGTTCCTAGGACTGAGGCCGTGATTTCTTTTGGCCTCGCTTCTACCCAGCAGCACAGTTCTGTAGCTATGGGCTTCCCCCAATCTCCCACTCTGCCTCAACAACACACTGCTTCCTGTGACGATGGCAGGCCTGTGGTTTTCTTGCTACCCCTGCCCTCCTCTGTCCTCAGGGTGTCCGAGGCAGCTCCCACTGCCAGACCACATACCCTGCTCCCACTGTTCTGTTTAGGAACCATTGGTTTTTTTCCATCAGAGAGTGCCAGCTACTGGTTGGCTCTGCCAGCTTTATCCAAGATCTGCAGCCACAGGTGTTTTCTGTAGGTGTTTTCTCACCCCCGTTTGATCTTCGCTGCTTTTGGCAGTCCTTTACTGTTTTTGGCAGTCTTTCCTTATAAGTTGTGGTTCGGGTTACAAATGTGTTCTGGTTTTGCTGAAGATAAAATTTGCATTTCTCTTTCTCTTTCTCCTTTATTTTAGGTGATTTGGGATATGAAAAGAAGTAACTGTATTCTGCTATCTTCGGGCTGTCTAGTGTTGCAAATTTTTACGTGCTCTGGTTTCCCCCAGATTAAACATTAGCCAGAGCTCTCTGGATAGGGTTGGCATGTGCTGAAGTTGGGGTCTGCAAATAGAAGGAAAAGAAAATGAGAGTTGAGAATAAAATAGGAGAGTTAGAAAGGAATCCATAGTATACTTGCCGTGCTGTGTAGCAGCAAGTTTCTTTCCTTCTCCGTTTGGACTGTGGCTGGGAGTGGGCCACTGTTTGGGTGGGAGGTTGTGGCCAGGCAGAGCAGGGCATGAAAAATGCCTGCCTCTTGGTCTGTCTCAGGGCAAGTCATTCTGAGCCCAGCAGCTCTTAGGCCAGAGAAGCGAGGGCACATACCTCTGCCCTGGACTGGCTGCCGGGCTCACCTCTCCATCTTTCCCCACACCCAGGGCTTGTCCAAGCAGCCCAAGCACTCTGGGCTCTGGCTGGCCTCCTAGAGATGGTGGCCAAGTCCTCCTCCCTGAAAACCAGGATCTTGCCTCAGAGGAGGTTGTCCGGGGTCAGTGTTGTTAATGGTGTTTACGTGCCCAAAGAAAAAGCATGCTTATCCGAAGGGAAGGGGTGCTTGTGGGATTCCCAGAGGATAGAGCCAGAGAGGAAAACCTGCCCCCAGAGTCTCAGGCTTGGCCCTTTGTATTACTGTCTCTCCAGATTACCATGCCACCCAGAGGGTGCTATTTATCCCCATTTTACAGATGAGGAAACTGCAGGCCATGCAGCTTCGAGTTGGAGACAGGCGTTTGGATGCAGTTTTTTCTGGCTCCAGAACCTGGACCCCAGCTCCCTCATTCCCCCTGCCTCCAGCTCCCCTTCCCATGGAGACCCCACCCCACCCTCAGATGGCTGTCCTGTGTCCATGTTCACGTTATTATTCACGCAGCCCCTGGGCATCACTGGCTGTCGGTGCTGCTTTTGTAACCCGTGCGCTCTGCTTCCTTCCAGGAGCTTGGGCCCCTGCCCCAGCCCGGTAGAGGCTGTGGAGGTGTACGGTCCAGAAGCCTGGTACCCAGCCCGGCGGCCCATCCCTGGCTGTGGGGAGCGGAAGCTCCCACGAGGTAGCGGTGGCCTGCAGCGGCCCCCTCCCAGCAGCGAGCCATGGGCCAGAAGCTCTCGGGGAGCCTCAAGTCGGTGGAGGTGCGAGAGCCGGCGCTGCGGCCGGCCAAGCGGGAGCTACAGGGAGCGGAGCCGGGGCGGCCAGCGCGGCTGGACCAGCTGTTGGACATGCCTGCGGCGGGGCCGGCGGTGCAGCTGCGGCACGCGTGGAACCCTGAGGACCGCTCGCTCAATGTCTTCGTCAAGGATGACGACCGGCTCACCTTCCACCGGCACCCGGTGGCCCAGAGCACCGACGGCATCCGCGGCAAGGTGGGCCACGCCCGGGGCCTGCACGCCTGGCAGATCAACTGGCCGGCGCGGCAGCGTGGCACCCACGCCGTAGTGGGGGTGGCCACGGCTCGAGCCCCCCTGCACTCCGTGGGCTACACGGCACTGGTGGGCAGTGACGCGGAGTCGTGGGGCTGGGACCTGGGCCGCAGCCGCCTCTACCACGACGGCAAGAACAGGCCGGGAGTGGCCTACCCCGCCTTCCTGGGGCCCGAGGAGGCCTTCGCGCTGCCGGACTCGCTGCTCGTGGTGCTAGACATGGACGAGGGCACGCTCAGCTTCGTGGTGGACGGCCAGTATCTGGGCGTGGCCTTCCGCGGCCTCAAGGGCAAGAAGCTGTACCCGGTGGTGAGTGCGGTGTGGGGCCACTGCGAAGTCACCATGCGCTACATCAACGGCCTTGACCGTAAGTACAGAGTAGGGGTGCCTGGCGGTTTCAGAGGCGGCCTGTCGCGGGACCAGTTGGGGAGGGCGGCAGGAAGCAGGCGAGGCCCCACCTTCCGTGGTCGCTGGGTATAACCCTGCCGTGTAGAGGACGTCGACTCGCCTTTACTGGCTTGGTGATCTTGGGCTGTGCCTCAGTTTTCCCACCTGCAAAAGTGGCACAAGGACAGTAACCTTGGGCGGGTTGTTGTGACGATCACATACCATAATAATGTATGTGACGCACTGAGAACGGTGACTGGCGCCTAATAAGGGGCTTCCTGTGTTGATGCGAATCATGAATCATGAATCTGTGTTATACAAAATGAGGTCTCCTCTGTGCCAGGCCTCAGCTCACAGCAGGAGGAGAGGGTAGAAGATAGAGTCCCTGCACACGAATGCCATACACTCTGAGTTAATATGTATAATAAGTGTAGTAAGTGATGATAATAACGACTCTCCTGTATTGACCACCAGCTGAAGGCAGGGACTGGACGCTCAATTCCCAGCTCTTCCTGGTGAAGAATAATCCTCTCTAGCTGATTATTGCCTCCTGGGAATGAGAGCCAAAAGTTGTAGAATCTCTTAATTTTTCCAAGAGGACCCAGAAATCTAGATCTGTGTGAAAGATCCCAATTTTCAGGAGTTGGCAGCTGCTGAAAACACCACTTCGTCAAACAAAACACCCTCGCAGGCTGTAGGCAAGCCCCCAGGCTGCTGGGGTTGATCCCTGGCAGCTCTAAGGCCTCCTGTCATTTAACATGCACCATCATGCTGTCAGGCAGCTTCAAAATCACGGCAACAAAAATGCTTATGTTTTTAGGAGGGAGTCATTCGGAGGCAGGGTGGCCTCTGGACAGAGGCATCTATGGCCACCAGCTGAGCGGAGCCTTGTGGGCTTATGCACTCCTCATCCAAATAGACTTCCTGCCACAACCCTGACACAGCTCACAGAGGCAGGTGCTTAAAGCCTGAATTCCAGTTTATTCATTTCAAATGAGAGATATAATTGCCCCCATTTCAGGGAGCAGAGCTATAGAGAGCCAGGGTCTACCTAGGTCATCTGTCAGCCCCTGAAACTTATTCTTTTTCCACGCCCCCCCCACCTTCAGTTGAGGCGCTGAGAGTAACACCCAAGAAAAGAAGTCAAGAACAAGATTTTACTCAAGTAAAATTTATATTTACTTGAGTATAGGTTAGGTTGACTGTTTTCAAGGGTGCCAGGCCAGCAGAAAGTGGCTGGTGTGCTCAGCTCTCTGGTGTAATAGGTGACATTCTTGCTCAGATTTCCTTTTCACGGTTGTTGAACTGAGATTGCCGTTGATGGCAAAGTGTTGTTCTGTTTTCTCTGATTTATCTGGTTAGATCTCAGAGCAGCTGAGTGTGTGCTGAGAAGGGCTAGTTTAATCATCCCAGTGCCACGTGGAGAATGTCTGGAACTCTCACAGACATGGGGCGCAGGCAAACCCCAGTACCAAGAAAACCAATGGCAACAACAAACACTCTTTTCAAGCAGAATTGGGAAATTTACTTGCCAGAATTTATCCTGGGACTAGAAGGGTGGACTTGGTGCACAAGGTTCTGGAGTCTGACATGCCTTAGTTCCAACTGCATCCCCAGTGCTCGATGGTTTTGCGTCTTCAGTGATTCATGCTAATGCCTTACAGCTCATTTTGCTTGTCAGTAAAATGGGACAGGATCAGGTCTCTTTCACAGCTGCTGTGAGATCTTGTAGCTGGGATTAAAGGCTGACATTGATACCCAGCAGGAGCTACCTGAGCCAGCAATTGGGCCCCCAAGGTGGGCTTCCTCTTGGGTATTGATTCACTGGTATTGATGCCCAGCTATTATCTGTTGCTTGGTTTTCAGGCACAAAGCTGAGATGCTAACAAGGTCATAGACCGTGGCTCCCCCATGCGTGTTAGGATCAGGAGGAGTCAAGCCCTGGTATCCTCCTTGGTGCAATGTTGGTGGGCAGCTAGGTGGGAACAGATAGTTGTGTTGGGGGCATTTTGAGTGCTTGGATCCTTCAGGTGGCTGGAGAAGCTGGGTGAGGCTGAAACGTGGACTGTTCCATGCTTCTCCCCACTGGCGGTGATTTTTGAGGTTGGCTGAAGCTGGAATGCTCCTCGAGGAGGCAAACAAAGGCCAGGATGTCATGTGATGCTGGCCTGCAGCATCTGTTGTTCCATGTCAGGATTGGCTTGTCTGCTATGACACTGGCCTGTTCTCCAGCTAGAAGTAATGTTCTCTATCATGGGCAGGGTATGATTGCAAAAAGGAGGAGCTCAGCAGAGGCACCTGGCTGGCTCAGTCGCTTAAGCGTTCGACTCTTGGTTTCAGCTCAGGTCACGATTTCACAGTTCATGAGTTCAAGCCCCACATTAGGCTCCACACTCCTGCTTGGAATTCTTTCTCTCTTCCTCTCTCTCTGCCCCTCTCCTGCTCACTCTCTCTGTCTCTCTCTCAAAGTAAATAAGTCAACTTCAAAATTTTTTTAAAAAGGGGGGGAACTCAACTTTTCTGTGCTTTGAAAGGCCATGGTCAGCCTAGGACAAGCCCTGACTACGGAGTGGGCCATAGGACATGCTGCAGTGGACTCTGATAGGGGCTGGTTGGGAAGGGACTGTGTGATGCCCGTAGCTGGGACCTGGGCTGATGTCCACCAAGGGCATCCTGGACACCGGGAGGCGTTTGGCCTCAGGGAGTCCCTGGGCAGGGAAGGTGACCCAATGTGGGGTTGTGTACATGAGAATTCTGTGCCAACATGGGTTGCGGACATGATGTCAAGTCCCCATTCTCAGACCCGACAGGGATGTAGGAGAGCACAGTCAGAGACACGTTCTGGAGCAGAAAGGCGGGGCTGCTCTCTGGGGTTGCTTCCCCGGAAGATCATCAGGGAGAGAGCAGTGCCCCGGGCTCCTCACAGACTATGTTAGTGTGGCCCTAGCATTCACCAGAAGGCCGGGCGCAAGGATTACCGCTCTGAACCTCACTGTTCTCCTTTGTAAAATGGACGTAGTAAAGCTCACCGACACAGAGCAGTTACACGGCAAGTGGTGCTTCTGCTTTCATTAGCTAGGTGAGCGGAGCCAGGTCCTGGGGTTGACCTATGGGTTACAACAAAAGTGGCCTCAATAGAAGCTTCTCCTCTAATGTGACGGAAGGAAGTTGATGGATATCCTTTTCTCAATTTTTGAATTTTTATGACTCTGAAAGCAAGACCTAAAAAGGTCTAACCTCATTTAACTCGGAAGCATGTGTTCGCTGGGGGCAGGAGCTCCTAGAAGCACGTTTTCCTGTTGCAAATGTGTTCTTTGGCCGTGGCATGGAGTGAAGTGGCTCTACCTCTCAGAGTTTGCTGCAAAGAGCTGCAGGACCCCCGGGGGCTCTGCCATCCGAATGAAGCGTAGAACCAAGGCCGGGCAAGTGGGCAAGTCTCCAGATGATCAGATCCAGGGCCCAAATAATAACAGCAGTAATAGCACACCAGCAATAAACTAAACTCCCTCTTAGGTGGTGCTGGGCTCTATTCTAAACACTTTACAAATTTTAACTCATTTAATCCTTGTAACCACTCATTCAGCCAATGCCTGTATTATCTCATTTAAAGTGAGGAAATTGAAGCACAGAGAGCTTGAGTATGTTGCTCAAGGTCACCAAACTGGAAACTGGGGGAACTGGGATTCAAACGGGAGGCACAGTGGCCCAGTGGGCCCCTTGTGGAGACGTTTGCAGAGGGGGCAGAAGGGAAGTAACAGGAAAGGCTGCTCCACTGGGCTGGGTGGCCACGCAGCCAACTGGACTTTTCCTTCAACGGTGGGTCTAGGTGAGACTCTGAAATGCTGTCCTGGTAGCTCTCCTCACTCCTGCCTTCATCTCTAGCCCTCAAAGCTCTTGGCTCAGCACAGAGCTCCACGGGGTGTTCTAAAAAGTTAGCTGCATAAAGACAGCCCCAGCAGTGGCTGTGCATCAGGCATGCTTTGGTCGCTAACAGGAGAATGTCACTGAAAATGTCCCAACTGCTGTGAGGTTTGGCCCAACTGCTGTGAGGTGGGCCAGGCCTTTGGAATCTGCTCCAGGATGGTTTCCGGAGTTGCTCCTCTGCTCCCTGGCTCCTCCTTCCACATGTTGGAGGCCAGGAAAGTAGGTTGACAGAACGGCTTTGTCTCCTGTCTTGGAGATCTTGGGTGGTGAGTGGAGTATAAGTGACACAGGAAGTGGAGAGAAGCCCCAGACAGAGACGCGCAGGCTTGGAGTGCCACACAGCTTTGATTTGAGAGTCATATAACAATTACAAGGTGTTTGTTTGTTTATGCCATTCATGTTTCGTGCTCTGGGCCAGGCATTCTTCTCTCCCTCTCCCTCTCCCCTGCCTCTCTTTTTTGTGCCTACAATAAACATGGAGGCATTGTGCTGTTATTATCTCCATTCTGTAGATGGGCAAATGGACTCTTGGAAAGGTAAATTAGTGAATGTGCTCAAGGCCACACAGACAGGCAGCAGTAGAGCTGTGCTTAAACCCGGCCCCGAGCACTCCTGTGCCCTGCCTCCTGCTGTCTAGACCATCCCTGACTCCATTTTGCCCACCAAGTAGGGCCTGATTCCACAGAGCAGGTGTCAGTGCCCAGGGCTCATTTTCTGGGGTGGGGGTTGTGGGGGAGAACGGGAAACATAGGATCTGAGGTCTAATTGGCAGAGAGGGCTTGGCCACCTGCATCGGGCCGGGGAAACTGTATTTCCAGACGTTGTTCCTAGATGGTTTAATTGACCTGCCAACAAGTATTTATTGGCGCAGCGGCTCAGCAGAAGAGGCTGGCAGCCAGCCAAGGCTTCTGGTATTGATGAAGGCCAGAGAGAGTTTTATACCGAGATGAGTACAAGGACACCATCCCCTTGCCAGAGCCATCCTCCAGTCTGCACTGAACTCGCCACCTTCCTGCTCAACTCCCATGTGTCTCTCCCAGGTGACATGGTCCTCAG